CGAGCCGCGCGGAACCAGCCCCGGTGTACCGGTTAGGTTCGGGGCGCGCACGGCGCCGAGCGACCGCAGTGAGCTTCTTCGGAGGAATGTCACTCCTCGTTGGAACTACTTACCCAGCAGTCCTCCAAGTAGGGGGCCTGGCGCCTCTTCCCGGCTCCCGTCCGCCAGCTTCATCATGGGCCTGGGCTCTGGCCTTGGAAGGCACCGGTGAAAGTCCTCCAAGGCGGACACGTAACGACCCGGTGGTTCCACAGGTTAATTAATACGCATGGGGAATAGGAAAGAGCATCGTTATGACCCGAAGCCAGTGTACAGTTTTCTAAGAAGTTTGTGGGTTGCACAAAGTTCGTCTTGTAACCGTGACGCTGTGTTTTGGGAATGCAGGCAGTTTAAAGAATCCAGATTTCAGATTTGAAAGCTTGGCCAGATCCATAAAAATTGCCGTGAATAAAATGGTTTTTAATCCCAGAAGGATGGTGGATCTTAGTTCCCTTTGAGAATCTGCTGAGAGCGGAGAAGTGCACTTTGAAATCTGGGCAAAACTTTGGTGGGCTGTCTGAGGCTTCATAATCCTGTCCCAGGTTTCCCACTCCAGGTTCAGAACACCCTGTCTTTAAAATTCTCTCTTAGAGGACGATATCTGGTCTTAGATGAAGTAGTGTCGTTGAGTTCATACAGTTTATAAGTTGGCAAAACTAGCAGTAGGACACACTGGGACCTCACCTTCTAACTCCCAGTCCAGTGCTCTTCTTTCTACATCTCTGGATTTAAAACACCAGGTGCCTGGCCTCATTGATATAGGAAAGTATTCCTGTAAAGCGGTAGAAGCAAACTGAATTGGCTTAATTCTGGTGATTGATTTCTCCCTGTGATGCTAAATTATTTAATGGTTTTATCTTTGTAACATGTTTCAAAAATAGTATTGTGCTCATTCTGTAATCAGTACTGGAATTTTGAATTTTCTCGTAAACATTCTAATTTCTTGTCCAAGGAAATGAAAATCACCTGAAGAAAACTTTTTGGAACAGTATTAGATTGTCTTGTTTTGCTTGAAATTGAAATAGGAATCCCACTGGGACCTGGACTGACAAGAATAGCCTGAAGAGGTTACTGAATATTAGGAATATGCACTGATCTTTACATACAAACAAATAAAAAGACCTTCTTATCAGGGAGAATCTCAAGTACTCCAGAGTTGTGTAATCAGCTTCCATGTACCTGTCACCCAGCCTCAATAACCTTCAACCAGTGGCTAATGCAGATATTCCTTCCCTTTGCAGTACTGCATAGAGCCCAGGGGTGCTCTGCCACTGAGCTACACCTCCAAGCCTTTTTAATTTTTGTAGTGAGACCAGGTCTCATTAAGTTGCCCACGCTAGCCTCAAACTGCTATCCTCCTCTCCCAGCCTCCTTAGTTGCTAGGATTGTAGGCATGTGCCACCATTGTCATTGTTGTGCCCACCCCCCCACCCCATGTGTATTTCCCTGTTCCCATTTTGTTTATAATTAAAAAGGAATCTTTTCTTTTGTAATTCAGTCTTTATTTTCCAACATTCTTCTGGTTTTCTCAGTCTTCTGACATTCCTTCTCTTAAGACTTTTCTGTATTTCTTACTTTTGAAAACAACTTTATTATATTTATGTGTCAGGGGCGATACCATGATTATGAAAGTGGTTCTCTCAGGGGAGGCTCATCCACTGGACTCTGGGTGTTGTAACCCCTGCGATTTCCCCAAGTGTGGGAAACTTGATTGTATGATTTGTCATATTCAGGGACTGCATTCATGCTCTCTCTGTTAAATAAATAATCAACTTTATTGAGGTGTAACTTAGATACTATAAAAGTCACCTATTTTAAGTGTATAATTCAGTGATTGTTATTAAATTTACCAACTTGTCCAGCTGTCAACCACTGTCCAGCCCCAGACCTCTCCAGAAGATCCCTGGTGCTGCCAGGTGCAGTGGTGCACACCTGTAATCCCAGTGGCTTTGGAGGCTGAGAAGAATTTCAAGTTCAAAGCAACTTTGAGGCACTAAGCAACTCAGTGAGATCTTGTCTCCAAATAAAATATAGGTCGAGTTCAATACCTGGTACCAAAAAAAAAAAAAAAGACGATCCCTTGTGCTGGTTAGCAGTTGATTCCCATTCTCACGTTGCCAGCTCCAGGCAACCACTAATCTTCTTTGTAGCTCTCTACATAACTTGCCTTTTCTGGGTATTTCATAAAAATGGAATCACAGTAAGTGGTCTTTTCTTCTGGACTTCTTACTTAGATGTTTGAGGTTCAGACATGGTGTACCATGTACCATAATTTGTTTCTGTTTATTGAATGTGATTCCTTTGTACAGGTAAATCACCTGTTGCTTAGCCACTTGCCAATTGATGGCATCTGGGTTGTTTCCACTCTTTGGCGGTTATGAATAATGCTGCTACAAACACTCATGCAAATCTTCAGGGGCTGTATATTTTCATTTCTCTTAGATGATACCCTGGAGTGGGGAGTAGAATTGTTGGGTCATATGATAGATTTATGCTTTTTGAGAAATGGCCAAACTGTTTCCTAAAGCTAGTAGTAGGACACACTGCTAGCCAGTTTAGCACTGTTTCTACATTTCTAGAGTTAAAACACCAGGGGCTTGGTATCACTGGTAAATATTAAGCTAGTCTATCAGTTTGCTTCTACCAGCGATTTATGAGGGTCCCCTTTTTCTACATTGTTGGAAGCATTTGTCATTGTCTTCCCATATTATTTTAGAGCAAGACAAAGGGATCATATTATTTCATCTGTAAATATTTCAGGTGTACCTATAAAAATAAGGGCTCTTTTAAAAACAGCTACAAAGCTATTATACAACAACAAGAAGAAATAATCCTTAATATCATCAATGTCAAATCAGGTTCAAATTTCCATTGGTCATAAATGGCTTAATTTTTTTTAAACCAGGATCTAAATAGCATTTATTGTGATAGGTTAATTTGTCTTTTAATACTTTTAAATAAAAGATTTCACTTCTTCTGGCCCCCAATACTAGATTTTGCTGATTGTTTTCTTGTAGTATGGTTTAGCACAGTGGTTGCTGGTGTGTGTGTGTGTGTGTTGCTAGGGATTGAGCTCATGGCTCCCTGTATACTAGGAACGTGCATGTACCTGGTGGTATAGTTTAACACGTCCACCTCTCCTTTGTATTTTTGTAAGTTGGTAACTGAATCCAGAGGCTAGGATGTTCAAATTTGATGTTTTTGCACGCCTGCTTCCTCGGTTGCGTTGTGTTCTTCCACTGGGAGAGTGTCTGATTGTCGTTTTGCGACGTGGCTCTTCTGGATGCCCAGTGCTTACATCTCTTTGTTCATCATGTGAACCTTTTTTTGGTACTGGGGATTGAGTCCAGGGGTACTGTACCAATGAGCTGTATTTCCAGCCCTTTTTATTTTTTATTTTGAGGCAAGGTCTTAAAGTTGCTTAGCTGCCCTTGAACTTGTGATCCTCCTGCCTCAGTCTCCTGAGTTGCTGGGATTACAGGTATATGCCATTGTGCCTAGCTTGAATGAAGTTTTTATATTGTGTTTAAAAATACAAAATAACAGAGCCAGGCGTGGTGGCATATGCCCAATCCCAGTAGCTCAGGAGGCTAAGGCAGAGGATTGTGAGTTCAAAACCAGCCTTAGCAACTTAGAGAAGCCCTAAGCAACTCAGCAAACCCTGTTTCTAAATAAAATATATAAAATGGGCTGGGGATGTGGCTCAGTGGTTTAGCACCTCTGGGTTCAGTTCTCAGTACCAAAAATTAACAAATAACCATGCATGATGGCAGGCATATGTAGACCCAGCTACTTGGGAGACTGAGGCAGGAGGACCACTTGAATCCAAGGGTTCATGGCTAGCCAGGGCAATATACTGATATCCTGCCTCAAAGGGAAAAAAGTATGAATTTGGGCTGGTGGTAGAAGGCTTGTCTGACCTGCATAGGCCTGTGATTGACGCCCAGCGTTGCAAAAAGAAAAAATTCTTGTCCTTAGCTCTTTACTAGTATTTTTCAAATGAGTTGTGATCCATTAAATGATTATGAGATCATCTTATGATCACAACTCACTTACAAAAGGAAAAGGAGGTGCTGGAATATGTAGCTCAGTGGTAGAGCATATGCTTAGCTTGTGAAGGCCCTGGGTTCAACCCTCAGCACCCATAAAAATAGTATAAAAATACAAAATATTTTATAATTTTATAACTAGTAAGTGTAGATTTTGAGAGCTACTGTACATGAGACAGTAGCTAGGGAGTATCTTGCTGCAGGTGCAATGGTTCAGCCTGTAATCTCCGCTATTTGGGAGGGTGAGACGAGAAAATTTTGTATGTTTGAGGCCAGCCTGGGCAATTTGTCAAGACTCCATCTCAAAAAAATTTTAAAATTGGACGTGGAGTTGTGACTCAGGTAGCACGCTGTGGGAGAGATTACATTGGTAGATGTTGGTGCCACCACCCAACACACTGAAATGGAAGATGAGGCATTAATGTGACTTAAGGGTTGGGAGGGGAACAAGAGCATGATATGTATTTTTCTCTCCCCACCCACTATTCACATTCCTGGGGAAGGGTTAAGTTGGAGGATATGATTATCTAAGGCATATTTTGCAGGATGTGAAGGTCCCTGTATAATCACCTATTAACAACTGATTATTCCTTTCCTTACAGGAGACCAACAGCATGAGGCTCTGTGGTCAGGCTTCAGCATTCTACCTTCTAATTAATTGCTGGGCAACAGATTTCCATTTTGTTTGATCTTGGATAATGTAAATATATGGGTCCTTTTCATTTTTTCTACCTACCTTTATGCACCAATGTGTGGTAATCTATAGCACTTTGAAGATTAATACCAATACTTGGTCATACTTGAGTTAGACTCCTGACCACAGTATGTCTTCAAATGATCTTTTCTACAGATATTTCAGACTCTTAAGTACAAATCTCTATTAAGCATCTGTTCTTTGGCAGGTATATAAACATGGAACATACTTTTTTCAGTGACTGCTATTGGGTGACATGTATGCCAGTTTGTTTCCTGAGAATATTAGTGTAATCAAATATTTGATTGCTGGGGATTCTTTTTTTTTTAATATTTTTAATATTTATTTTTTAGTATTTGGTGGACACAACATCTTTGTTTGTATGTGGTGCTGAGGATCGAACCCGGGCCGCACGCATGCCAGGCGAGCTCGCTACCGCTTGAGCCACATCCCAAGCCCAGCCCAATATTTT